AGCATCTTCTCACTAGTGACTTCGATTCAGCCGGGTATGAACAGAGAATTTGCATGATACTGAGCGCATAGGGGGAGCTGCTGTGGTGTAGTGGCTAGACGCTTGTCTGCTGATCAGAAGGTTGTGTGTTGAGGTCCTGATTGAGCCTAACTTAAAAAAAAGAAAAAACTTGGCTCTACCAAGCCTTAATTGTGGATCAGATGCAGTCCTGAGAAGTAATAGCGGCTGGCGTGAATTGACCGCATCACCAGCAGAATGCCATTTGGTTTACAAAATATAGGTCTAGCCCTATATGTTTAATATGACTGAAAGCATGTAAAAGATCCTTTAATTTTTTTCAACAGTGCGTTGGAGAAATCAGCCTCCTTTGGATTTGAACCCTAGACCTTTTGGTCAGCAGGAGAGAGTCAAGCCACTTTGCTAACACAGTGCTAAGGAAATATAATTGTTGGTGGGAAAGTAAATTAAAGGATCTTCTGCAGACTTTTGTCACATTGGGAATATAGTGCTAGACTCATTCAGGGAAATGCCCTGGGAAGTAAAGGTGGGCAGCATGACTTGGAGGGAATTATTACTTAAAAGACGCTATTGTCACTAGACTAATATTTGGAAATGTCCTGGAAAGTAAAGGTGGGCAGCATAAAATTGACTACATGACATGGGTGCTGATTGGTCTTTAAAAATATGCACCTGCCATCATAAGCTTGATGTGTCAAAAATGTGAATCTGTTGATCAATTTGTAGTGTCCTCTCCCGGATGCTTCCTAAAGCATCACCCTAATATTTATCACCCTGAGGTTTAAAAAAAAAAACTAAATTATCCATCTGGATGGCAGACTCACAGGCAGATCTCCGATACCCCATTCAACCTCCAGAGAAGCTTATAGTGAGGGCATCCATAATGGCCGCACCAGCCCACTGTAACCTGCAGTCCTCAGTAGATAAGGACCAAAACCTTTACTTTAAATGTACCTCACATAGGATCTTCCTTCCATGAACTTTAACCTTAAAAAAGACCGCCCTGTTAGCAGAGCCATATGTTCTAGTGCAAATTTTTTCTTAGCCCTTCCGAAATAACAGTAATAAATAAAAGCAGCAGGCGTTCATGGCACTTTGTCGTTTTAGCATTTTTTTATGCCTTCCTGAAATCCTGGCATTAGGAAGTTCACAGGCAGTACATTTAGTACAACTGGCAACACAGTGAGGTGGGGTATAACATGAACATCATGGCTCATTTCTTAAAGTTTATGGGTAGGTAGTGGAATTAGTTTTCACAAACATATCCTGTTCAACACTCAAGGTTATACTTGGGATATAAAGTGTTCATTGAAGGTCAGAGAATATTTTAACTCTTCTCTCTCAATAAATCATATAGTTATTTATGCAGTTTGTATGATTATTGTTCAGAATATTGTCATGTTCACACCTTTTGGGTTGTGATTACGATGTATACTGTACAGTGATTATATAAAAAATCATATTAACATTGTATCAGTAAAGTAGTAGACTTATTGTGTCCTTCATATAATGAATGAGCGTTTTCATTAATTTTAAAGTAATAATCTTCAAAAATTACATGGATATTTCCATATTATTCTATATATCTTCTTCATCGTTTTTCTGAGTGACATCAGTTTGTGTTGTGCCTGTTTGCAGCATAGCTAATATTTTTGCACTATTTGGCTCACATCTGACTTCTTTAGGCATTTGTTATTTCGGCTTAATCTACCCGGTTAGTTTTATGAGATATTTGAAGCCTCATTTGTGTGGTGCCTTTGTCATCCCCTGATGTCCTCTCCTGATGTCATACTCTGATTCACCCCCTGTTTTCATCCCATAGTGTCACCCCCTGATGTCATCCCATGGTGTCACCCCCGGTTGTCATCCCATGGTGTCATCCCAGGGTGTCACCCCCTGATGTCATCCCACAGTGTCACCCCCTGTTGTCATCCCATGGTGTCACCCCCTGATGTCATCCCATGGTGTCACCCCCTGTTTTCATCCCATGGTGTCACCCCCTGATGTCATCCCATGATGTCATCCCCTGATGTCATCCCATGGTTTGACCCCCCCCCCCCCCGGTTGTCATCCCATGGTTTCACCCCCTGATGTCGTCCCCTGATGTCATTCCATGACGACACCCCTGAAGTCATCCCCTAATCTCAACCCCTGATGTCATTCCCATGATGTCATCCCCATGATGTCTTCCCCTGATGTCATGCCCTGATGTCATCTCCTGATGTCACCCCCTGATGTCTTCCCCTGATGTCAGCCCCTGATGTCACCCCCTGATGTCTTACCCTGATGTCACCCCCTGATGTCTTCCCCTGATGTCACCCCCTGTTGTCACCCCCTGATGTCATCCCGTGATGTCTTCCCCTGATGTCTTCCCCTGATATCAGCCCCTGATGCCGTCCCCCTACATGTATTGTCCCTAAAGGAACCTGTCCTAGACAGCCACATGTAGCTTAGTTGACCCTCAGCAGAAGGCAGAGACACAGCATGAGCGTATTTCCCACGGCCACCAAGTATTAGATTGGGTTGACTTGAGAGACCAGACTAGAACAATGAACTAACTTTTCCAACATAAACATGGGATAGATTGTATTCACATCTTTTTGTAGTTCATTCACCCACCCAGATGAGACTACTGGCTACTCCAAAAACATGGGATAGATTGTATTCACATCTTTTTGTAGTTCATTCACCCACCCAGATGAGACTACTGGCTACTCCAAAAACATGGGATAGATTGTATTCACATCTTTTAATAGTTCATTCACCCACCCAGATGAGACTACTAGCTACTCTATAAACATGGGTTAGATTGCATACAGATATTTTCATAGTTCATTTACCCACCCAGATCCGACTACTGGCTACTCTATAAACATGGGATAGATTGTGTTCACATCTTTTGATAGTTCATTCACCCACTCAGATGAGACTACTGGCTACTCCAAAAACATGGGATAGATTGTATTCACATCTTTTAATAGTTCATTCACCCACCCAGATGAGACTACTGGCTACTGCAAAAAACATGGGATAGATTGTATTCACATTTTATCATATTCACCCACCCATATGAGACTACTGGCTACTCCATAAACATGGGATAGATTGTATTCACATCTTTTCATAGTTCATTCACCCACTGTGATGAGACTACTGGCTACTCCATAAACATGGCATAGATTGCATACAGATAATTTCATAGTTTATTCACCCACCCAGATGAGACTACTGGCTACTCCAAAAACATGGGATAGATTGTATTCACATCTTTTCATAGTTCATTCACCCACGCAGATGAGACTACTGGCTACTCCAAAAACATGGGATAGATTGCATACATATATTTTTATAGCTCATTCTTACACCCAGATGAGACTACTGGCTACTCCAAAAACATGGGATATATTGTGTTCACATCTTTTCATAGTTCATTCACCCACCCAGATGAGACTACTGGCTACTCCGTAAACATGGGATAGATTGTATTCAGATATTTTCATAGTTCATTTTTACACCCAGATCCGACTACTGGCTACTCCATAAAGATGGGATAGATTGTATACAGATATTTTCATAGTTCATTCTTACACCCAGATTGGACTACTGGCTACTCCATAAACATGGGATAGATTGTATACATATATTTTCATAGTTCATTCTCAACCTAGATCGGACTACTGGCTACTCCCTAAACATGGGATAGATTGTGTTCACATCTTTTTATAGTTTATTCTTACACCCAGATCGGACTACTAGCTACTCCATAAACATAGTATAGATTGCATACAGATATTTTCATAGCTCATTTTTACACCCAAATCGGACTAGTGGCTACTCCATAAACATGGGATAGATTGTATTCAGATATTTTCATAGCTCATTCTTACACCCAGATCGGACTACTGGCTACTCCATAAACTGATATAACTGTCTTATATGGGTTTGATTCTCTTGAATTCTTATCTGAGTATTGTCTCTTTGAGTCACTTGGTATTAGTTTTTCAGTATGCAGTCCTAGAGAGGGAGATTTTTTAAAACCCATTCATTTAGAAACATCTTCTCAGCGCTTACTTGCTGTAAACTTGAACAATTACAGTTGTTCATCCACTTCTAGGTGTATTGTTCCAGCACTTGAATATTGTGTGCTTATTTGTTTGCACACTGCCTGTTCCTTGTACTTCGACTTCGAAGGAAACAGCCCTAATAATCAACGTTTATGACATGCTTTCTCACCCACACATCTGACTAGGAACCCATCAGGGGAGCAAACATCTCAATATAATGATGTTCTTCTAAAAGCCAACAAGAGTCACTTCTCTTTGTGTCTTTTGTATGTCTCTACCATCTGGATGATGCAGTGCCTGTCATGTCAGTGCTGATAGTTGTGGGAGCATCAGATGGTGACACCACTCTAGGTGAGTGCATTCCGTGACATGGCAGATGTTCATACTCAACCCACATCAAATCTGTGTCAAGCCAGGATCACATTGAAAACCTTTCCTAATAAGCCACGTCTGCTGCTGTTCCAGATGTCAGTTGTTTAACCCGTACATTAATGTGGGGCATGGCACTTACAATTGTTGTTCTGTCCATGTTAACCCAGTTTAGAATGAAAAGATATCAAACCAAAGGAAAGGTAGAATCATTGGGCCTCACATTATCACAGACATATACAGCAAGTGAACTGTGTGGCCAGAAAGCCTTCATCAGCACAATTACATGAAAATATATATATAAAAAAAGAAAGAACTATGTGTTGTCTTCACAGTGAAGCTTGGCTACAGTGTTACCTTTGGAAATATTACGTGGTGAGGTTCCAATCTCTTCCACCATGTGACTCTTATACCACTGTCCAAAAACCATGAGGTTTGATTTTTGGCATTGCTTTAAACGGTTACCCTAAGGGACAGAATCTGCTGTTTTTACTATAACTTCATGTTTCCTTTGTGCTCTTTCTTTCAGACACTCTTGAGGGAGGGGGCATGTCAGGGGGGATGCCTCCCATGGGAATGTCCATGGGGGGTCACCAGATGCAGGACATCAAACCAGACATTTCATCCCTAACGTCACCAACCTCCACACATGGAGGCTACTACGGCTTCGGCCACGGCGGCATGTCCGGGATGACCTCCACCCAGCCCTCGCCCGGGCCTCAGATGCACTCACCTGGGATGCATTCTCCGACATCGTCGATGGGTTCGCCACCCATGCTGTGCTTGAGTCCCTCTGGACCTAGTCCTTCTCCTGGTCTCCCTCACTCCTCACTTCACACAAAACACATCTGTGCTATATGTGGGGACCGTGCCTCTGGCAAGCACTATGGAGTCTACAGGTAAGAACTTTATCTAAGTCCTTTTTCAAGTGTATTTTTGGGAGTCCCCCACCGCCCCCCCCCCCTATTTTCGGGGGGGGGTAAGAATATAACCACTGCCCCCTATCATCATCGTCATCATGTAGCTTGTTCTTTATGCAATGTTTCTCCCATCACAGTACATGTCAGAAGAAATGTGTCCCTCATCAGCACTCCCTCCTTGTGCACTCTTTTACCTAATGTGTCTCTCATCAGCACTCCCTCCTTGTGCACTCTTTTACCTAATGTGTCTCTCATCAGCTTTCCCTCCTTGTGCACTCTTTTACCTAATGTGTCCCTCATCAGGTCTCCCTTTTTGTGCACTCTTTTACCTAATGTGTCTCCCATCAGCTCTCCCTCCTTGTGCACTCTTTTACCTAATGTGTCTCTCATCAGCTCTCCCTCCTTGTGCACTCTTTTACCTAATGTGTCCCTCATCAGCTCTCCCTCCTTGTGCACTCTTATACCCAATGTGTCTCTCATCAGCTCTTCCTACTTGTGCACTCTTTTACCTAATGTGACTCTCATCAGCACTCCCTCCTTGTGCACTCTTATACCCAATGTGTCTCTCATCAGCTCTTCCTCCTTGTGTACTCTTTTACCTAATGTGTCCTTCATCAGCTCTCCCTCCTTGTGACTCTTTTACCTAATGTGTCCCTCATCAGCTTTCCCTCCTTGTGCACTCTTTTACCTAATGTGACTCTCATCAGCTCTCCCTCCTTGTGCACTCTTTTACCTATTGTGTCTCTCATCAGCTCTCCCTCCTTGTGCACTCTTTTACCTAATGTGTCTCTCATCAGCTCTCCCTCCTTGTGCACTCTTTTACCTAATGTGTCCCTTATCAGCTATCCCTCCTTGTACACTCTTTTACCTAATGTGTCTCTCATCAGCTCTCCCTCCTTGTGCACTCTTTTACCCAATGTGTTCCTCATCAGATCTCCCTCCTTGTGCACTCTTTTACCTAATGTGTCCCTCGTCAGCTTTCCCTTCTTGTGCACTCTTTTACCGAATGTGTCTCTCATCAACACTCCCTCCTTGTGCACTCTTTTACCTAATGTGTCTCTCATCAGTTTTCCCTCCTTGTGCACTCTTTTACCTAATGTGTCCCTCATCAGCTCTCCCTCCATGTGCACTCTTTTACCTAATGTGTCCCTCATCAGCTCTCCCTCCTTGTGCACTCTTTTACCTAATGTGTCTCCCATCAGCTCTCCCTCCTTGTGCACTCTTTTACCTAATGTGTCTCTCATCAGCTCTCCCTCCTTGTGCACTCTTTTACCTAATGTGTCCCTCATCAGCTCTCCCTCCTTGTGCACTCTTTTACCTAATGTGTCCCTCATCAGCTTTCCCTCCTTGTGCACTCTTTTACCTAATGTGACTCTCATCAGCTCTCCCTCCTTGTACACTCTTTTACCTAATGTGTCTCTCATCAGCTCTTCCTCTTTGTGCACTCTTTTACCCAATGTGTCCCTCATCAGCTCTCCCTCCTTGTGCACTCTTTTTACCTAATGTGTCCCTCATCAGCTTTCCCTCCTTGTGCACTCTTTTACCTAATGTGACTCTCATCAGCTCTCCCTCCTTGTGCACTCTTTTACCTATTGTCTCTCTCATCAGCTCTCCCTCCTTGTGCACTCTTTTACCTAATGTGTCTCTCATCAGCTCTCCCTCCTTGTGCACTCTTTTACCTATTGTGTCTCTCATCAGCTCTCCCTCCTTGTGCACTCTTGTACCTAATGTGTCTCTAATCAGCTCTCCCTCCTTGTGCACTCTTTTACCTAATGTGTCTCTCATCAGCTCTCCCTCCTTGTGCACTCTTTTACCTATTGTCTCTCTCATCAGCTCTCCCTCCTTGTGCACTCTTATACCCAATGTGTCTCTCATCAGCTCTTCCTCCTTGTGCACTCTTTTACCTAATGTGTCCTTCATCAGCTCTCCCTCCTTGTGACTCTTTTACCTAATGTGTCCCTCATCAGCTTTCCCTCCTTGTGCACTCTTTTACCTAATGTGACTCTCATCAGCTCTCCCTCCTTGTGCACTCTTTTACCTAATGTGTCTCTCATCAGCTCTCCCTCCTTGTGCACTCTTTTACCTAATGTGTCCCTTATCAGCTATCCCTCCTTGTACACTCTTTTACCTAATGTGTCTCTCATCAGCTCTCCCTCCTTGTGCACTCTTTTACCCAATGTGTTCCTCATCAGATCTCCCTCCTTGTGCACTCTTTTACCTAATGTGTCCCTCGTCAGCTTTCCCTTCTTGTGCACTCTTTTACCGAATGTGTCTCTCATCAACACTCCCTCCTTGTGCACTCTTTTACCTAATGTGTCTCTCATCAGTTTTCCCTCCTTGTGCACTCTTTTACCTAATGTGTCCCTCATCAGCTCTCCCTCCATGTGCACTCTTTTACCTAATGTGTCCCTCATCAGCTCTCCCTCCTTGTGCACTCTTTCACCTAATGTGTCTCCCATCAGCTCTCCCTCCTTGTGCACTCTTTTACCTAATGTGTCTCTCATCAGCTCTCCCTCCTTGTGCACTCTTTTACCTAATGTGTCCCTCATCAGCTCTCCCTCCTTGTGCACTCTTTTACCTAATGTGTCCCTCATCAGCTTTCCCTCCTTGTGCACTCTTTTACCTAATGTGACTCTCATCAGCTCTCCCTCCTTGTACACTCTTTTACCTAATGTGTCTCTCATCAGCTCTTCCTCTTTGTGCACTCTTTTACCCAATGTGTCCCTCATCAGCTCTCCCTCCTTGTGCACTCTTTTACCTAATGTGTCCCTCATCAGCTTTCCCTCCTTGTGCACTCTTTTACCTAATGTGACTCTCATCAGCTCTCCCTCCTTGTGCACTCTTTTACCTATTGTCTCTCTCATCAGCTCTCCCTCCTTGTGCACTCTTTTACCTAATGTGTCTCTCATCAGCTCTCCCTCCTTGTGCACTCTTTTACCTATTGTGTCTCTCATCAGCTCTCCCTCCTTGTGCACTCTTGTACCTAATGTGTCTCTAATCAGCTCTCCCTCCTTGTGCACTCTTTTACCTAATGTGTCTCTCATCAGCTCTCCCTCCTTGTGCACTCTTTTACCTATTGTCTCTCTCATCAGCTCTCCCTCCTTGTGCACTCTTTTACCTAATGTGTCTCTCATCAGCTCTCCCTCCTTGTGCACTCTTACCTATTGTGTCTCTCATCAGCTCTCCCTCCTTGTGCACTCTTTTACCTATTGTGTCTCTCATCAGCTCTCCCTCCTTGTGCTCTCTTTTACCTAATGTGTCTCTCATCAGCTCTCCCTCCTTGTGCACTCTTTTACCTAATGTGTCTCTCATCAGCTCTCCCTCCTTGTGCACTCTTTTACCTATTGTGTCTCTCATCAGCTCTCCCTCCTTGTGCACTCTTTTACCTAATGTGTCTCTTATTTCCTTTGCCTTGCTTTGTGCTGGTCAGTCTCTGCCCCTCTTACCTGGTACTGTGCCCTCCACTGATCTTGTTTTCCCTAGTTCACCATTGCTTCACTAACAAGCATGTCACAAAAGGCAACTAATTAGGACTGCTGAAATTCTCTGTGCTATACAGAAAGATGCAGATATTGCGACCTTGCTGTAAACAGTAAGACAACCAGCCAGCTGCCCTTTTAAGAGCAAATGCAGAAAAAGAAGAATTTGAGTCATTAGTATAATTTTCTTTCTTTTTCTAAGTGGTAAATGTGCTTGCCTGTCAGGACAGTGGTCTGGCTTCCATCCCACCTAACATGGCAAAATTTCTTTCTAACCAGTTTTGCAGGGAGGTGGGAGGTGATTGGTGTGTGTGTATGTGTGTGTGAGAGAGAGAGAGAGAGAGAAAGGGAGGGAGGAGCTATCATATAAATAAAAAAAAGTGTACCAAATAATTTCCAGAATATTATAGGCAGGTTGTGAAGTGGTTCTTGAGGATGATGAAATAAGAGCAATATCTGGACAAGTTATAAGACAAAGAAGGTGGCACTGTACTGGACCCATCCTGAGAAGCAACAGACGAGCAGAGAATCATCAGACAGGTACTGAAATGGAAAATAAAATGATTGAGGAAGCAAGGATGTCCACAAGAAATGCCTAAAATGAATATTAACAAGAAAGGCCTAAAGGTTGTGGACTGAAGTCTAATCATGATGTCAGTAACAATGCACAGGATACAACAGAAGTCTAACCATGATGTCAGTAACAATGCACAGGATACAACAGAAGTCTAACCATGATGTCAGTAACAATGCACAGGATACAACAGAAGTCTAACCATGATGTCAGTAACAATGCACAGCATACAACAGAAGTGTAACCATGATGTCAGTAACAATGCACAGGATACAACAGAAGTCTAACCATGATGTCAGTAACAATGCACAGCATACAACAGAAGTCTAACCATGATGTCAGTAACAATGCACAGCATACAACAGAAGTCTAACCATGATGTCAGTAACAATGCACAGGATACAACAGAAGTGTAACCATGATGTCAGTAACAATGCACAGGATACAATAGAAGTCTAACCATGATGTCAGTAACAATGGACAGGATACAACAGAAGTCTAACCATGATGTCAGTAACAATGCACAGGAAACAGCAGAAGTCTAACCATGATGTCAGTAACAATGCACAGTAAACAGCAGAATTGATGAGTAGACTGAGAGCTCTATAACATATAATGGCACAACGCGATCGAGGTGATGAGTGTAGTGGTTAGTGCAACTACCTTTATGTCTGGTTGTCTCATCTTTGATTCCTTGTCAAGACTGGGACTTTTTCAACATTGACTTGTAGGTCGACCCAGCTTCAAATAAATACCATCAAATATTCGCTTAGAATAACACTCACTGGCCACACTTTTCAAGTGCAAGTTTTGTTCCCCCTCTTCTCCTCCTCCACCTCTCCTTCTCTCTTCTTCTCCTCCTCTTCCTCCTTCTTCTTCTTCTTCTTCTTCTTCTTCTTCTACTTCTTCTTCTTCTTCTTCTTCCTCCTCCTTTTCGCCCTTCTTCTTGTTCCCCCTCCTTTTCTTTTTCTTCTTCCTCTTGTTGTTATGTGTGTGTAGAAAAAACCTTTGAAATGAACATTTGTGTTTTTTGCCTGTTTTAAACATTATATGTATTTAAGATTTAGAGGTCACACATGTTATATGCATAAATAAAAAAAACAATACTAAATGAATTCATTTAACTAAGCAGTGCAGACATTCTGTGCACAAACAGATTATTTCTTCTTCTTATTATTTTTTTCTTCCCTTCCTTCTCCTCCTCCTCCTCCTCCTCCTTGTAATTAAAAAAAAAATTTTTGTTTGTTGGAAACATTTACTGTCAAGACACAGTGCTCATGCTAAAATTCATGCAGTCAAGGTATAATTGACCCCAGATTGTATTCAGGTTTCGGGCCACCGCCTGCGGCTTGAAAGAGAAACCAGCATCTCACAAAGAAATATTGATCCAGGGATGACATGAATGATCATGCATCTAGGTTGGAGCATAGGGGGTAGGGCAAACCTGCAGATAATGAACATAATCCCCAGCTAGATCTGGCTCTGCATTAAAAGGCAATTCTACGGATGAACTTTATTAAGCAGACAAATGAACAGTCTTTGATCATCAGTCTCCTTACAGATAACCAGTGTAATATCGTTAGCCGTGATCTTTGGCTTACTTCTGTTGTTATTGTTTCTGTTGGGAAAGAGAACATCCAAGAAGATCCTCCTTCTGGCAAATCAATAAGATGACATAGCAGGCATGACGTGGATTGTGTATATGAAAACATGTTTTGCTGCCTGTCTGTGGTAGCATTTAAGGCTTGGGTGGGCAAACTTTGAACATGTGAAATATTGGATTGTGTTCGGAAAGGTGCAGAACTGATATTTGTTTTATGACTGAGGTTCATTGTTTTGTTCGTTAACACTCTTCTGCAATTTTAAAATCTCATACAATGTGCTGTTTTCCTTCAAAATGGTAAGTCTTCATAATGTTACTTTTTATTTTTTCAATTAGCTCCTTTGTTACCAGTCAGTAAATACTTTAACCACCACCACCACCTACTCTAATCCCCTTCCTCTTCTTCTTCTTCTTCTTCTTCTTCTCTTTCTTCTTCTTCTTCTTTATTCTTCTTTTTTTCCTTTCTGTCCTCCTTTTCCTTCATGTCCCCCCCCCCCCCCCCCACCTCCTTCTTTAGCATCCTGAGCCCTCAAGAATCATTGCTGATTATGTAACCCTCCTCTATTTATCTCTGTGATTGACATTCTCTTTCCAGTTGGTGATTCTAAGTATTTGTAGATCTTATTGTGTTTTATTTGTCCATTGACTTCTTGGTCTGCTCCAGTTCTGCTCTTTTGTGAATGCCCTTTTTTAATCTCTTCATCACCAGCTATACTCTCTACAGTCTATAAGCCCCCTCCTGGTGCCGGTAATTACAGGTGATTTAAACAGATTATTGTCTCTCACTCTTCATTCCATTATGTTTACACCTTTGATGGTTCCAAGAATTAGTCCAAGGGCAGTCATGAGCTGGTTCTTAAAAACAGTTTTACTTGCTGCCGGTGTGGGTTCATGTGTCCATATCGGCAAAGGTAAGAGCGCACTGCCCTCCCCCCCCCCCCCCCCCTGTTCAACAAGCATTTATCAAATGGTAACTAATTACAGGTTCCTTTGAAGTCAGAGTGCATCTTCCAGAGAGGTGAGGAACCTACAGTCTGCATACAAATAAGCCAACCTGTAAAATGGTTAGGCACTCAAAACTTAAAATCTGAAATAAGACCAAAGTCCAGAATTGGACGAAAAGCCAGAACTTTCCACCAAAGTTTACAGCCAGAGAAGAAGAGTTTCACTGACTACATGGCCTCTCTAGAGAGGGGACCAAGTCTGCTACTTCTGATGGCTATCTTATTGCATTTAAGGTGTGTGTATGTTGTTTTGGCTGTGCCCAGACTGCAGTCTTTGTCCCTGTCTTTTCATTTGGCAAGAGAGCATGAGGGTCATTCTGTGTGGATTTTGGTGGCAGAGTCTTGGAGCAACCTTGTTATGACCAGTTTGCTAGGAAGTTGGAACTGTGGTTACCTGATTACTGTCTTTGGACTAACCAAAGAACTTAACTGATTATCAACTAACTGATTCGAATAGGTACAATGTTGAGTTCTGGCTTTTTTTTTCCAGCTGTGAGGGGTGCAATCAACTAACTGATTCGAATAGGTACAATGTTGAGTTCTGGCTTTTTTTTTCCAGCTGTGAGGGGTGCAATCAACTAACTGATTCAAATAGGTACAATGTTGAGTTCTGGCTTTATTTTTCCAGCTGTGACGGGTGCTATCAACTAACTGATTCGAATAGGTACAATGTTGAGTTCTGGCTTTTTTTTTTTTTTCAGCTGTGAGGGGTGCAATCAACTAACTGATTTGAATATGTACAATGTTGAGTTCTGGCTTTTTTTTTCTCCAGCTGTGAGGGGTGCAATCAACTAACTGATTCGAATAGGTACAGTGTTGAGTTCTGGCTTTTTTTTCCAGGTGTGAGGTTTACAATCAAATGACTGATTCGAATAGGTACAATGTTGAGTTCTGGCTTTTTTTTTTTCCAGCTGTGAGGGGTGCAAGGGCTTCTTTAAGAGAACCGTGCGCAAGGATTTAACGTACGCTTGCCGTGATGACAAGAATTGTATGATTGACAAGCGGCAGCGTAACCGGTGCCAGTACTGCCGATACATGAAGTGTCTGTCGATGGGGATGAAGAGAGAAGGTAGGTGTTTTTATGTGATGGCTTTAGTGGCCATAGAAGTAGCAGTAAGAGTAGAATTAGTGGTAACAGCAGGAATTGTTGCAGTAATAGGGGTAGTATCAGTGGTAATAGGAGCAGTTCTAGCAGTAAAAAAAGTGGTATCCATGCTAGTAGGGGAGTTGTATCAGCGGTAATAGCAGTTGTAGTAATAGGGGAGTAGTATCAGTGATAATATAACAAGAGTTTTAGCAGTGGGGAAGTAGTATTTGTTGTAATAGCTGTTGTAGTAGTAAAAGTAAAGGACCCTTTCTATGCCTTCGGACGTATAGGGCTAGGCCTATATTTTATAGACCAATTGGCACTTCTTCTTCTTTCGTTCGCCTGAAATAAGTTGTCTATATCAGCAGTTTTGTCTCTTGTATACATTTCACTGTTGTTGTTAATTCATTCAGTGGTCCATAGAGTTTACGTTCCACTGTTGTTCTTTCTGGCCAAAAGGTTTATCTTAATGTGTAAAATTTGGTGCAGTCCTGGAGTACATGCTCTGCTGTCTGGGGCACCTTTCCACAAGTTCCACATAGCTGAGCCTATCTTAAATTTTGTGTACATGTGGCCAATCGGCACTTTGATGGATGATGTGGTCAGAATCACCCGGCCGCCTTTACTTCCCAGGACTGTACCTGGAACCCACTCAAGACTGGGTCAACCTGGGTGCTAAGGTCATCTTTGAAAACAGTCTGGCTCTGCCATAACCCGAACCCATACCTTTCTGATCCGCAGGCGAGGGTCTAGCCGCTACACCACAGTGGCTCCCAGTCGTGGCAGATAGGAAGTAGTATCTGTGTTAATAGAAGGAGTTATAATAGTAAGGTTGTGCTATCAGTGCAAAAGAGAAATGTAAAAACTTGTGTATTAGTTCATGCTCACTTTATATATTACTGTTGAGATAATGTCTGAGTGAATCCAGATCTGCCATGATCCATTTTTGTCCCTGTTTGCATGTTTGTTTCTTGATTGTCTCCCTCTAGCTACTGACAAGCAAATCTAGGATAGAGTTTTGATGTAATCTGCATGTCTTTACCAGTATGTCTGGTTTCTGCATTGTTAGAGTGCTTTCTGGGTCACAGCACTAGTTAAATAATCAGTTTGCTGAGGTTCCACCATCAATGTGGATGGGTCCTCCCATAAGTGCTGCGCTACTTTGCCAGTAGAAATCACACAAAATGTCCTTTACTCACCACAGAGTGTAGCGCCTAGATGCTCGCCTGCAGATTGAAAGGTTGTGGGTTCGGGTGACGGAGCCTGACTTTAAAACAAATGACATTAGCCCTCAGGTCGACCCAGTCATGAATTGGTACCAGGTAAAGATGGCTGGCGCGATGCTGACCACATCACCTATTAAATGTCTATAAAATATCAGTCTGGCCCTATATGCCCAGTACTGCCTGAAGGCTTGGAAAAGGGTCTTTCACTTACTAACCACAGATTTTGCTAAAAGGGTGCCAGTATTTCCCACAAAGTGTCTGCTACAATTGTGTTCAAATATATATCTGAAAGAAGTCCTCGTACTGCATACTGTTGAAACCACCAGGTGATTAAAAAAAACCTGGTCCTCACTAATCACTTAACCCTGCCTCCCCTCCATTCTTGTGCTTTAAGAGGAAAGATAATTTACTGGGGGTTTGTTGCTGGAGTTACAGAGTTGGTGCTTGGGGCAGTACTCTTTTGGGCAACAGGCCATCCTGTAGAGGAAGGCTAGGCTGTTTGGGGTAGAATCTAATGCAGTTATGTGGAGCCTCTTGCCTTTAACACGCACTTGTTTAGTTTTGTTTATGTCTGATGCAGCTGTGCAAGAGGAGAGACAGCGAGTCAAGGAGAAAGGTGATGGCGAGGTGGAGAGCACCAGTGGGGCCAACAATGACATGCCTGTGGAGCAGATTCTGGAAGCTGAGCTGGCGGTAGACCCTAAAATAGACAACTACATTGATACTCACGTTAGTTTACTGTTTCATCTGAGCATCTTGGTGTGGTTCATTTATATCATCTTCATCATTATTATCCAAGAACAATGTGTGTCGTTGGGTCACCTGTTGCTGTTGACTGTTTGATCAGCTCCCTCCACCTTCTACGGCTAGATGTCATTGTTGCATGCCTAAGGCCCTTCCAGTCAGTCAAGTTCTGTATCCAGTACTTTCTTGGTCTTCCTCTTCTCTTCTTCCCCTCTACTGAGCCCTATAGTCTTGTTTTTTGAGAGGCCATTTGATCTTATTACATGTTTTTGCCACTGCATTTTCTGCCTTCTCACTGTAGATATAAGAGGTTCATAATTGCCACAGTTATCTATATATATATGGCTATTCATTAGTTGCCCGAATCGTTTTCTTCATCTTATTTATCCACAGTTAACAGGCATAGAGTCAGATTTGTTCATCAACTTCTGGACTTTGGTTTTGTTCTAAGACTTGAGTGTTGCATACACATCCATTTTACAGGTCTCGCTTATTTGTGTACAGTTAGTTCCTTGCTTCTCAGGCAGATGTGCTTTGACTTCAAAGGATGAGTGGCCGGCTAAACAGTTAGTTCCTTGCTTCTCAGGCAGATGTGCTTTGACTTCAAAGGATGAGTGGCCGGCTAAACAGTAAGGATCTGTATCCTTTCATTCATACTTGGCTGTCTTCTTTTTCTTTGGTTCAATTTTGTATCCTCAGGTCAGTGGTCGTATTGGCTGCCTCTATGAATGTGCATGTCCATTGCATGTCCTTTATCATTCCCCATAGCTTGTTCTGCATACTTTGCTGTTAAGGCCAGATTTCTGTTCATAGTTGTAAGTATAGTGCTCAGTTGTTTGTTGTCCTTAGGCTCTCATATGGCCTGTGTAAGTACAGTGCTCAGTTGTTTGTCGTCCTTAGGCTCTCATATGGCCTGTGTAAGTACAGTGCTCAGTTGTTTGTCATCCTTAGGCTCTCATATGACCTGTGTAAGTACAGTGCTCAGTTGTTTGTCGTCCTTAGGCTCTCATATGACCAGATATCCCTTATCTTTGTCATTTGACCAGTTATTGCTTATCTATGTCATGTCATCTGTTGTCCCTTCTGCCATATGACCAGATATCACTTGTTTCAGTCATGTCATCTGTTATCCCTTCTGCCATGTGACCAGATGTTACTTGTCTCTGTCATGTTGTCTACTGTCCCTTGTATCATGTGACCAGATATCACTTGTCTCTGTCATGTCATCTGTTATCCCTTCTATCATGTGACCAGATATCACCTGTCTCTGTCATGTCATCTGTTGTCCCTTCTATCATGTGACCAGATATCGCATGTCTCTGTCATGTCACCAGATATCACATGTCTATGTCATGTCACCAGATATCACATTGTCCATGTCATGTCGCCAGATGTCTCTGTCATGTCATCTGTTATCCCTTCTATCATGTGACCAGATATGGCATGTCTCTGTCATGTCGCCAGATATCACATGTCTCTGTCATGTCATCTGTTATCTCTTCTGTCATGTGACCAGATATCACATGTATATGTCATGTGACCAGATATCACATGTCTATGTCATGTCACCAGATATTACATGTCTCTGTCATGTCATCTGTTATCCCTTCTGTCATGTGACCAGATATGACTTGTCTCTATCATGTCATCTGTTATTCCTTCTGTTATTGCTCCTTGTCTCTGCCATGTGACCAGATATCCTTTGTCTCTGTCGTGTGATCTTATATCCCTTCTGTCATGTGAGCTGGGACCTCCTGTCTCTGTCTTGTGACTAGATATCCTTGTTTCTCTGGTGTGTAGAAAGATCCAGTCACCAACATCTGCCAGGCGGCCGACAAACAGCTGTTCACATTAGTGGAGTGGGCCAAGAGGATACCACATTTCACTGAGTTGCCGCTGGAGGACCAGGTCATTCTTTTAAGGGCAGGTCAGTTCATCCGTTTGCTTTTTCTGTGATTTTTATCTGGAACAAGCAATGTTAATGCAGGGAAAAGTGTTGAAGGTTGTGATCAATCTCTGAGGGTTATTATCATCTCTGGAAGGTATTATATTCCCTGGATGGTATTATAATCTCTGGGGGCTAATGAATCTCTGATGGCTGTTATAATCAGCTCTGGAAAGTATTATACTCTAATGGCTTTGATAATCTCTAGAAGGTGTTTTAATCTCTGGATGGTATTCTAATCTCTGAAGGTTATTATATCTGGAGTTAAATGTTAAAAATGATATAACCAACCATATTTGCACACCAAGCTGCACACCAAGCTGCACTGTCTGCACACCAAGCTGCACTGTCTGCACACCAAGCCGCACTGTCTGAACACCAAGCTGCTCTGTCTGCACACCAAGCCGCACTGTCTGCACACCAAGCTGCACTGTCTGCACACCAAGCTGCACTGTCTGCACACCAAGCTGCACTGTCTGCACACCAAGCCGCACTGTCTGTGCACCAAGCTGCACTGTCTGCGCACCAAGGCGCACTGCACACCAAGCCACACTGTCTGCACACCAAGCCGCACTGTCTGCACACCAAGCTGCACTGTCTGCACACCAAGCTGCACTGTCTGCACACCAAGCTGCACTGAACTTTTTTATCTTGGTCACATGAAGAAACCTTTCCAGCAGGTGTCCCCAGTGTCATAGTGGTCATTTGTATAGATATCAGTGTTAGAGGTGCAGAGGTTAAAGTTCAAAGGGTCGATTTAAAGGCAGTAGGTTTAAAAAAACAACCCATGTGGCTTGGTCTTTCTCTGCAGACGGCTTGATGCCTACCAAAAGCCCCGCACACAGCACAGACTCTGTAGTTCGAGTGATGATCCCCCAGAGATCTCCGTCAAAAATGCACTTGTGAACTGATTGGCATGTCTAAGAAATGAACCCATGATCTTCCGAGTGCCTTGTCAACTTGGACATGGAGATCCCCCATACGGACCATTTCGCCAAGGAGATTCCATGCAGAAGTGCTGAACCACATGTGGTGTTGAACCAGGACCAGGTCATACTGAGTTTTGAGTTATGAATCAACATCATTGATAAGTTCGCTATACACACGTAAAATTATTACATAGGCTATTTCACCAGCCCACATGAATACCACGACTCAGCTGCTGCACAAATGAAAGACATTCCACATGAAAAACACAGCTCACAGTTATGCATTAAGCACTAAACTCAGTAGCTCAGGCAGCGAAAGCATAGAATTCCATTTATATGTGGAAACTGCATTTCAAAGCGCTGTCAGGAGCGTTAAAAAAACTTTGAAGATAAACATTCTGCCATGCCTAGTCCTCCATATTGGACAATGTGGCAGGCACAAGTCCTGGAACAGGACCAAAGTCTAGAAATGGAGAAACAACAAGGCTTTTTTTTTTTTTTTTTTTTCAGTTTGCAGCCGGTGAACGCAAAGAATAATAATAATAATACAATGTTATAGTCGTTAGGCATCAAGTTATGTCCTGCACCTCTGTTACTCGCATCTCAAACTCTATTCTGCAGGTTGGAACGAGCTTCTCATAGCTGGTTTCTCCCATCGGTCCATCTTGGCGAAAGATGGCATTCTTCTGGCTACGGGTCTACACGTGCACCGCAGCAGTGCCCACCAGGCAGGGGTGGGCACCATCTTTGACCGTGTCCTGACAGAACTGGTGGCCAAGATGAGAGAGATGAAAATGGACAAGACTGAGTTGGGCTGTTTGAGGGCCATAGTTCTCTTTAATCCAGGTCAGTAGTGGGACATGGGTCTCTTTAATCGAGGTCAGTAGTGGGACAGTGGCTCTCTTTAATCCAGGTCAGTAGTGGGACATGGGTCTCTTTAATCCAGGTCAGTAGTGGGACAGTGGGTCTCTTTAATCCAGGTCATTAGTGGGACATAGGTCTCTTTAATCCAGGTCAGTAGTGGGACAGTGGGTCTCTTTAATCCAGGTCAGTAGTGGGACATGGATCTCTTTAATCCAGGTCAGTAGTGGGACAGTGGGTCTCTATAATCCAGGTCAGTAGTGGGGCAGTGGGTCTCTTTAATCCAGGTCATTAGTGGGACAGTGGGTCTCTTTAATCCAGGTCAGTAGTGGGACAGTGGGTCTTTTGAAAATTGTAATATCATCATCATGTTCCTGTACAACAGGGCTATTCAACTAAGTGTACTCAGGGGCCAACATTTTTGTAAATAGGGGCCGTCATGGGCCACAGTATCAAACCATATCATAACAAAATCCTTCATACAATACAGCTGGCAATGATCCGCAGACGACTTTTTTCGTGTGGACTTCTAGTAATTACCTCTGGTCTCGGGTAGTAAGATTGGACACCCGTCTATATTGTTGCACACATAATAAATCCCTTGGCAGTTGGAAAGGATCCTCGCCGGTGCTACGGAGTTCATGCTCCTCAATCAGATGTGTTAGGGAAAAAGGTATGAACCACAACACAACTTGTTAACTGCACTTTTAAAGATGTTTACAGTTCACAGCAGTTCCAAGGAAAAACTTGGTAGCAGCAGTTTATAACTTCAAGATTACTAAGAACCCAAACAAATTTTTTTTTTTTTTTATGTTTCTCTCTGAGGGGGAAAAAGGGTAGGTTTGATGAGGGGGGGGGGGGGGGGGGGTTATAATATAAGCCTTTTAATTTGTTTACTTTGGCTCAAAGTGTAACTTTCTGTGCAAAATATCTTGAAAAAAACAAACCTAAAAAATACTAGAAAACCAGTTTGGTAGTAGTCTGAATTGTATTTAAGGTAAACAAAACCAAAAAAAACTTTATTTATGTATATGTTTCAATAGTTAACCAGTCTCTTTTAACCAAACTACTTTTTTGTTGTTGACAGATGCAAAAGGTCTGACAGCCGTCCAAGAAGTAGAGCACTTGCGAGAGAAGGTCTATGCCTCGCTGGAGGAATACACAAAAACCCGGTATCCAGAAGAGCCTGGCCGATTTGCTAAGCTGCTCCTACGTCTGCCTGCACTGCGCTCCATCGGCCTCAAATGTCTGGAACACTTGTTCTTCTTCAAGCTAATTGGCGACCAACCGATCGACACGTTTCTTATGGAGATGTTGGAAAACCCCAGCCCCCAGTCTTAGCAGACGTAGAGATTCTGCCTTGCTAAATATTTCAGTTTTGTTTGTGTTGCCTACCTTTATATTTGGCTTGAGTTCATTACAGATGTTGGTTTCTTCTCCTTCTTAGCGTTTACCAGCTGTAAACTCTGGAGGAAGGTTCTGATTGTTCAACCACTTCTGGACTTGAGTCTTGTTCCAGATCCTGAGTATTGTGTGTATATCCCTTTTACAGATGGGGCGAACTTGAATGAAGACTCCTAATTTCTCATCTGTCAGGTAGATGCACACCTACTTACAAGAAAAACCCCTACTCACCTGTTGTGACATGCTCCTTAGGGAGACAGTGGGTCTGTTGTTGTGTCCTCCAAAATGAGGCTGCAGATATTCTCAGGGTTTATTTCTTTCTGCAGATGCCAGGTCAGTTGTCATGTTTGGGAAGCTGAGAGAGTTCGGTTACTAGCATACACTCATGACAGCTGAGTAGTCATTGGATCAAATCCTCCATGAGATAGTTGAAAAAAGAAATTTATTTAGACTTCCAAGTCAACCCAGGCTAAAACTAGTACCTGGGAGGTGAATGTTTACTTCCTTCACTTGTCCAGTGCCAACAAATCTTTAAAACTATGAAGCTAGCGTTGTATGCCTCTTCTGTTTTCCAAGGCATGAAATAAGCACTTTTTATAAGCTTTTCTTTTTAAGTTTCGTTTTTATTTTTGAAACCGAGATTTTGTGTTAAATTTTTGATGAGGCAGTTTGGCTTTTGGCGTCCGTGGCTTAGGCCTTGCGCGTCTGACTCGTAATTCTAACTGCTGGCTGCTTGGATTTATATCATGGTATGGAGCGTCGCAGCCTAAAATGGGTACTAGGATGTATGTCCTTGGGAAGTACAGATGGCTACCTTAATGCTGACCATATTAGCCACCTAGTGCCGAATGGTCTGTAAAACTATGGGTGTTGTTTCTGTATGCTCAATGCACTTAAGGCGTGAAAAGATTACTTACAGTTGGGAGTTTGCTTTTACTATCTTATCACATTTGTGAGCTGCTGTAGGGTACTGGCAAATGTATCAATTTATCTGAGTGGTTCTTCTTTGTTTGCCCCTACAAGAGCATAAGCAGGTTGTGGTTGATAGCTCGGCTGCAATACCTGCACTATTTGGACATCTGATTTCAGTTAGTCCTTAATTACCCACCTTATCGACATGTTTGACGTATGTATATATATATCGGTCTGGGGTTTATTCTTCATTTGTCCTTCAAAGGGTTGTTCATATTTTGTGTTGTAGTTTACAGCTAGGCTGCAATATCTGCACCTTTTGACTCAGCACATCCAGTTTCAGCAAAAGTCATTAATTATATTGGTAAGGGAAGATGGGTCTGTCCAGCAGCAGCCTCCCTCCCCCCCCCCCCCCCCCCTTTTCCCCCACACATGGGAAAGTTTGGGTTTGACTGTTTTTGTTATAAAGTTACGAGCTGTGCTAGAACATTCTGGCCTAGGAATATATTGGTCTGGAGTTTGATTTTTGGCATATTATTGTATGTTAATCTCTCATAAAAATATGTTATGACCCTGTCGGATCCCCCCCTAAACTACACGCACACACAATCCTGTGGTTCAAATTTGCATAGAGCCAGGAAATGTTTTTCAAACATGACCTTGGTTTCCAGGTCGACCCACCCTTGAATAGGTACTAGGCAAAGTCTTGGAAAGTAAATGCGGCTGCTGTGATGTTAACCAAATCAACCACTGAATACCGGTTACTCTTGAAAATATAGGTCTAGTACTATATGCCCAGTTTGCCTAATGGCGTAGACAAAGGCCCTTTGCTGTACTTGTTGATAGTTAGTCGACAGATTATCCTCATTGCACATTGAACCATTCAGTCCATAAGTGCTCGGATCCCTTCAATAAATCCTGCATCATCTACAGGCTGACAACTCCCATTCTCTGCTGGCTTCTTCTTTGGCTTCCTCCATAGTGCTCTTGTTTGGCCACACCCCTTTTAGCATGTTGTTCTTGCAGTCTAGCAATGATTGCAGATTCACAGTCATCATTTGGTTCCCGCAAACTTCTGACTTCTCATAGAGCAGGGGTTCTCAACCTTCCTAATGCCACGACCCTTTCATACAGTTCCTTAAGTTGTGGCGACCCTTTAATACTGTTCCTCATGTTGTGGCGACCCTTTAATACAGTTCCTCATGTTGTGGCGACCCTTTAATACAGTTCCTCATGTTGTGGCGACCCTTTAATACAGTTCCTCATGTTGTGGCAACCCTTTAATACAGTTCCTCATGTTGTGGCGACCCTTTAATACAGTTCCTCATGTTGTGGCGACCCTTTAATACAGTTCCTTATGCTGTGGTGACCTCCCAACCATACAGTTATTTTCGTTGCTACTTCATAACTTCAGTGAATATGTTTTTTCTATGGTCTCAGGTGACACCTGTAAAAGGGCCGTTCGACCCCCAAAAGGGTCACGACCTTAGGTTGAGAACCGCTGTCAAAGAGCATTCAGATCATGACTCATCCATCCTCCACCTTGCAAGCCTATCAGCTCACTCATTTCCTTGCACACCTGCATACCCTTGCACGAATAGGAAACTGATATATGTCAGCCCCGACCACTTTAGAGACTCCAACCACCGTCTTTAGAACCAGCCCGTCTCTTTCTTATTTTACTTTTACTTCTCTGTAGCAACGTTTGCCATAGGAGAACCTGTTTGTTGTGTTTACCTGACAGTTTACCAACAGAAAAGTGTTAGGATAGTACTGTTATTGTGAGCAATAAAATGCTGGTTGTGGTGACGTAGTTAGTGCACTGGGTTAGCAGTAAGCTGCTCCTGGGTTTGTTGGTTTCAGGGAGGTGAGATTTTGAGATTTGTTTTTGACGAGTTCGGTTCTTGGGATGTCTCCATCTTGGGAGATGGATGCCAGGTAGTGAGACAGTTACTTAGTCATCCCACCTGGTGAAATCTATAACCTTCATTATGTTAAGGTCACTTAGAACTGACTGTTATATTTATGGTAACTTGTGCCACCTTTTTATCAGGTAAATGTGATTTTCCTAGAATGTTTTCTTCTTTTTCTTCTTCTTCTTCCTCTTCTGTGTTTGCTATTGAAAAGATGGTGGTCTAGTTGTTATTGTCTACAGCTGGGCTACAGTAACTGTCTTTCGGCCTAAGACATCTGATTCAGCAAAGCATAATTGTTAAGGGGCACCTCAGTAAACAGAGGGACAGCACTTGAGGCCATAGAATATTATATTTATAACAAACAAACAAACAGTGTATTGATCGGCACTTATTGAATGAAGTTGAAGGATAGAAGGACACACTAGATAACATAAAAATTGAATGCTGTACCTACTGTGCCCGAATTCCCTGCAGATTTAGCTTTCAATGTTTATGTTGTCTGGTATATCTTTCTATCCTTCAACTTCTTTCTGTGAGTACCAATCAATGCATTGTCTTTTTGTTTATTTTTAAGGGGCAGTGGTCTGTTGCATATGCCAATCGCATGACAAGAGTCTTTTGTGTTTGGTTTTGTTTTTGTTTAAACTTCCCTTCTCTTATCGCAGCATTTAGTTTTGAAGAAACCTCTTGTCATATTTACCTACTAACTATTCAACAGATGAATGTTACAACGATCTGTAGTTTCTTCTGGTAAAGAAGACAATGATCTTGATCAGGGGAGATGCTGGGTGAGTTACCCCTCATTTTGTGTTTTAAAGATAACAAATTTGTTGGTGTATCAATTAATCTTGGCTGCAGGATACTGAACTGTTTTCACTGGTTGATAAACAAAGGAGAGTGTGCTGGACCAGCACATGTGTTTGCAGTCAGACAAACAGCTGGCTACAACAGCCATGTGCGTTTGCAGTCAGGCATACAGCTGGCCACAATGGCCATGTGTGTTTGCAGTCAGGCATACAGCTGGCCACAACAACCATGTGTGTTTGCAGTCAGGCATATAGCTGGCAACAACCATGTGTGTTTGCAGTCAGGCATACAGCTTGTCACAACCATGTGTGTTTGCAGTCAGGCATACAGCTGACCACAACCATGTGTGTTTGCAGTCAGGCATACAGCTGGTCACAACCAAGTGTGTTTGCAGTCAGGCATACAGCTGGCCACAACAACCAAGTGTGTTTGCAGTCAGGCATACAGCTGGCCACAACAACCAAGTGTGTTTGCAGTCAGGCATACAGCTGGCCACAACAACCATGTGTGTTTGCAGTCAGGCATACAGCTGGTCACAACCAAGTGTGTTTGCAGTCAGGCATACAGCTGGTCACAACAACCATGTGTGTTTGCAGTCAGGCATACAGCTGGTCACAACTAAGTGTGTTTGCAGTCAGGCATACAGCTGGTCACAACCAAGTGTGTTTGCAGTCAGGCATACAGCTGGTCACAACAACCATGTGTGTTTGCAGTCAGGCATACAGCTGGTCACAACAACCATGTGTGTTTGCAGTCAGGCATACAGCTGGCCACAACAGCTATGTGTGTTTGCAGTCAGGCATACAGCTGGTCACAACCAAGGGTGTTTGCACTCAGGCATACAGCTGGCCACAACAACCATGTGTGTTTGCAGTCAGGCATACAGCTGGTCACAACAACCATGTGTGTTTGCAGTCAGGCATACAGCTGGTCACAACCAAGTGTGTTTGCAGTTAGGCATACAGCTGGTCACAACCAAGTGTGTTTGCAGTCAGGCATACAGCTGGCCACAACAACCATGTGTGTTTGCAGTCAGGCAGACAGCTGGCTACAACAGCCATGTGTGTTTGCTGTCAGGCATACAGCTGGTTACAACAACCATGTGTGTTTGCAGTCAGGCAGACAGCTGGCTACAACAGCCATGTGTGTTTGCTGTCAGGCATACAGCTGGTCACAACAACCATGTGTGTTTGCAGTCAGGCATACAGCTGACCACAACAACCATGTGTGTTTGCAGTCAGGCATACAGCTGACCACAACAGCCTTGTGTGTTTGCAGTCAGGCATACTGCTGGCCACAACA